GCAAAAATAAACAAATAAAAAGTTAATTGAACTTAAAAAAGAACAACAGTTTCTCCTATAAAGCTTTCGAGAAAATTAAATTCTTTTGAAAAGGTTTAGGTTAGGTGTTTCTATGATTCTACGTGCAAAAATAAACAAATAAAAAGTTAATTGAACTTAAAAAAGAACAACAGTTTTTCCTATAAAGCTTTCGAGAAAATTAAATTCCTTTGAAAAGGTTTAGGTTAGGTTTAGGTTAGGTGTTTCTATGATTCTACGTGCAAAAATAAACAAATAAAAAGTTAATTGAACTTAAAAAAGAACAACAGTTTCTCCTATAAAACTTTCGAGAAAATTAAATTCCTTTGAAAAGATTTAGGTTAGGTTTAAGTTAAGTTTAAGCTAGATTTAGGTTAGGTCAGGTTTATTTCCTTGAATGATGCTTTAAATGTAGAGATTTTGTTTATTTATTTATTACTATTTGTTTTAATAACTATTAGCAACGTAATGCAATTGTTACAATATAATAATATACTTAAATGAACAACCATATATTCAGCCCAGAATTAGTCAAATTAGTCGAATATTTTATAAATTTTCAAACTTGACTTTCTGGAGAGAGAAACTCCTTGAGTAAAAAAATTACTATTCCGTTTCTGCGATTGATTCTTGCGTGCCAAGTTCCCATCAGTTTTCTCAATCAACAAAGTTAAACCAAAATTTGTTCCTCGATTTAAGTCCATTAATCTATTTTTTTTACTATTTATTATTTATTATTCTGTATTACTTCTTCACTTAATTTCTATCATACACTTTATTTAATTATTTCTGTCACTTCTTTAAATTCAAGAGTGCCGAATAGAAATCAAATTTTATTTATATAAATTTTAGCCACCTATAATTATAACCAATGATACTACTTGACAGTTAAAAATTTATGTAATACGTATAACCGTGCATTATTCTGTTGTACACTTCGTTGAATTATTTCTATTACTACTTTAAATCGAAACTATCGAATATCTTAAATTAATAATCCGACATAAATTAGTACAGTCAGGAATAACCCAATGATGGGATCACTTGAGAATTTATAAATGAAAATTCATAATGACATAACCCTGCATCCTTTAGGACGGTACGTGACGAAGATCGAATTGGAGCTGAAAGAAGCTCCTGACGACGATGCGATCCTCATTGAATCGATGCCGTCTGAATTGAACGTCGCCGATGAAATCAACACGACATGTACGAAAGGTGAGTTTGAAAGCTGAACCCTCGCCAAAGTGCAACAACTTGTATATTTGTTTCTTGTACACTCACGATACCGTTCACGGTACCATTTCAAATTAAACAGAGATTCAGAACGAACAACCGAACATCCAAACTTTACCACGGGGAAATCGATTTTTTTTATGCTACGCCGCGTTTAATTAAATGATTCTTTTTTTTCTTTTTTTTTTTTTTGCAGTTGTTTCTGGTATTTTTCGAAATTACAAAGGAAATTCCTTCCCGCGCAAGGAAACAAAAACATTACACCTGTCGAGTGTATTTAAAATACATTTCTTTTCTTTCTTTTTTATAAAAGATGTGTTTCAAGTATTTTTTTTTTTGTAGAAAATCTTTTTTTAAGCGTAGAAAAAACTTTTCTTGAATTTTGCATTTTGCATATATTTTATCGTTTCTTCTACGAGGTAAAATACTTTTCTTCTTATGTATACTTGTAGTTTTTTTTTTTTTTGTACACATTCATTATAACAATAAGTATAATAACAGTATTTGTATACACTTATTGCAGCAAGTGTACAATTTTCAATCTAATCTCCCTTAAGCTCAATATAATCTCCTCTACTATTAACATAACGAGAGAACAAAATTGATCTAACATCGAATCTAACATCGAATTACTATTTTGTATTAAAATACATATATTTCCCTATTTTCTTGATTAAACATCAAATACAACTTTTCGCATGTACGATGCATCGGCGAATAATGTTCGGTTTAATAATGAAACTATGATAACTTGGAAACTCACTATGCGTTCGTAATTAAACTATTAACGAACGATAGGTGAACTTGCAGTCTGATTGGCACATTAGATTCCTCCTAGGTTTGGAAGCGGAACCGTGGCTTGCGTACTAATTACGTAAACGAGTTTCGGCCGCAATATAGCGTTTGATCTGATTCTCTTTTACGAGTGCCGCATATTAGGCATCACTTGGAAATTATGAACCACAAACCATCATATTATGAAACGGCGCGAGGTATGTTAGCATTAGAAATACACATACACGTTGCAGGATCGTTCGTAATTTAGAATAGAATTTTTACACATTTTTTCTTTTGGAAAATACAAAAATGCACATTAAATGCATAATAATACGGAAAAATACTATAAAAAAACTAAAAATATTTAAAGTATAATATTCTTTGTAGTGTATAATTAATATGATTAAATAACATATAATGTAATATATTTCATTATGTATATATAATATATACTTATACAATTGTAATATAATAACTATAATAATAATTTTATAATACAATAATAATAACAATTATTATTATTATTATTATTTTCTACTTAGGTTCCACATAGAAATATAAAATTGCAATTTAGTGACATAAATTTGTTTACTGCAAAGGTTAATAAAGTTCTGTCGATAACGCAGATTTCTACAAACATTGATTTTGAATTCAATATTAGAGAAGAGAAGAATGTGATAAGTCCTTCATTGTGAACAATGCGCAGGATTTATAAATAATGGAGAAAATAACAGAGCAGCTCAATAAATGTATTGGAGATAAAAGATTTATCACGTTGTTCATAAAATAAACACTGTCAACAACATTACATAAATCAAACGAATAAAAATTCTTCGAGATTGAAAAAAAAAAAAA